GCCCACACCCGGGCTACCGCTCCCACGGGCTGTCCTTGGGACGCCACTGCCCCGGGCCACCATTCTGCGGCCACCCTGCCACGCTCACGCTTGCTCCTTGACCCACCACTCGACCTCACCCTTGCTACTTGGCTTCTGCGCCCGAAACCCCGACAGAACTTGGCCCACAGGTGACGTCCACCATAGTGTTGATCTGGCACATGCTCCGTTTTGCCCTTCCGGTGCCACCCAGCCCCGCAGGCCACCGGCGCTTTCTTGAGAGCTCCCGGGGTACTTTCCACCCACTTCTCTGGCCACTCCTTCCCCATTTCTGTCACGCTCCACAAGGGTGAAATGCTGCTTTCCTCAGGGTTTGGCCTAGTCCCTTCTCCAACTGAATCCACTACCAGGATTCTCAATGCACACAGGCAGGCCCCGGGCTACAGGTCTTCTCCACCTAGGTCACCTGCATCCCAAACTAAACGGCCTGAGGGGACACTCACGCATTCACTTAACAGTCAACAAACTTATTTTAAGAGTCAGAAAATGGACACATTCAGCTCTTCCTCCAGTGTCCCCCACCTTGGTAACACATCATTGGTCACCCGGCTGCATAAGCTGGACACCCAGGAGGACCCCCTAGGACAGGTTTTCTGGAATTCCTATATTAAATTAATGCCCTGGCTCATTTCTTCCTCTTCAAACCATACCCCAACTCTATGTCCTGCATTTCTGCTCAAATCCGTTATTTCCTGCCTGGGTGACTGCAATGACCTTCCTCCCATGGGACATGAACGCCCAGGAGGTGTTTCCTGAGACATGGGTCTAAAGTGCAAGCCTGTGCTTAAACCATTTCCCAGCGTGGCTTACGAAATCCAGCAGGATCTGGCCCCGGGCTGCCTCTCCTGCTTCATCTCAGTGTACTCAGCCAGTCCGGAGACCCTAGTTGTCAGCGTGTGGGCAGCTCCTGACCCCGTGGCCGCTGCCTTCCTCACCGTTTCAGAAATTCTTCTGGATTTAGGCCACTGCCTCTTCCTCAGCCAAGTTTTCCCTGACTCACCCTGACACCCACTGGTTTAGCCCAACGAGAGCAGCAAGTATCGCCCTGTTCATGGAGTTGTTTGGCACCCAAACAATGGGAAGGCCTCACTGGTGTGGGGAACCCCTGGGAATGGGGGACTCTCCCTGGACAAAGGGTCAGGCAGAGTTAGGGGCGGCCTTTCTGCAGACTTGGCCAAACTTCCTGGAAGTCTCCGTGTACTCCTGAAACTGTGCCTTAGGAAAACCTGCTCAAAAGGCAGGGATCCCTGGGTGTCCCCTTGGCACGTGCCATGCCCGCTCCACTGGGGCTCCTGGTGCAGAGTCCTGAGGCTCAAGTTGGTCTAGGTCTGCACCTCTCCTCCAAGGCCAAGTGTGCCCATGACCCTTTTGCACTTTTGAGTCAGACCAGGGTAAGCACAGGGCATGAAGTTTTATTGGAAGTGATCCACTGGGTGTGCTGCTTGGAGAACTACTGTGAAAGGACAGGGTCTGGCTTGGCTCTGAGCATCAAACGGGCTGGCTCAGCCCTGGGTGTGGAGAAGGCGGCGCCACCGTGCAACTGTTCCAGCATCAAATCCCTCCAAAATTCCAACCGGATTATTTGAAGGAAGTTTCACTAAGGCTGCTATGTTCTTTTTCTCCTTTCCCCAACTTTGTTTATTTAAAGAGGTTACTGCGCTCCAGAGGACACAGCTTAAATTTGAAATTGCCCTGAAGGCCATGATGGGGGTCAGGGCTCTCTGGCATACAGAAGTAAATCAGAGCACGAGGGATTTAACCCAGTCTGTAAACATCTGTCTTTACGTACCGCAGGGAGAGGACACAGTCTGGTCTCATACGATCACAGAACATTTACAAAATGTGACCAAGTCCTTAGAGAAAAACTCACAATAGAATTTGGGGAATTAAGAAACATTCTTTGGTAACCTTTCAACCAGAGGAAATGAAAAGTAAAATTTAAAAATACCTTCATAGCAAAGAAAGGACACTTTAACTTAAGTAAGTCTATATACAGAGAAAAAACTGTAATCTTAAAATGCCACCATTTTTCAAGAAGGTAAAAGGTACAACGAAGCGAGAGTTGGCCCGCCCACTCTGCTGTTTCTTCATCGCTAGATTCAACCAATGAGAAACATTTTGAAAAAAGAAACTATCTGTACTGAACAAGCACTGACTTTTTCTTGTTCTTCTCCAAACAATGCAGTATCAACCACATCCACAGCATTCGCACTTGTATAGGTATAAAGTGACTTAGTGATGATCTGAGGTGTGTGGGAGTTGTGTGCTACCTGCGAACACACCACCACTTCCTACAGGGCCTTGAGCACCTTGGGAATTTGGTGACTCCTTTTTTCTTTTTTTTCCCGGTACCGGGGATCGAACTCGGGACCTTGCACTTGAGAGGCAAACGGTGGCACCACTGAGCTAAATCCCCGGCCCAGGACCTTGATATCTTGCGGGGAGGGAGGGGTCTCAGAACCAGCGTCCCCTGAATACTAAGTGATTATATTTATCTTAGCAAGAAAAAAGGTAAAATAAATCAAATAAGCCAGGTAGAGGAAATAAAAGACATAACAGCTGGGAAAAAAGTAACAAAGACACAAATTTCAACCAGTTCTTTGGACAGACTCATTAAGTTATGATGAACAAAGGGTAGAAATACATGAGAGTAGGAATGAGAAGAAGAAATCAGATATCAGAAGCATTGCAGTAATTTTAAGAGGATCCATGCAATAATATGGCAATACATTAAAAAATTTGGGAGAAACAGTTTTAAGAAATCAAGTTAACCTAAGAAGAAATGGAAAACTGGAGCGCTCTAAGAGATAATAGGGTAATGATTAAAGGGAACTACTGAAACAAAGCTCCAGAATTTGAAGCTTTACAGCCTACTTTCATCTAACCTTTAAAAACCACAAGAAGGGATTCTGGCATAATTTAAGGACTGCAAGCTGTAGGAAGTGGTGGAAAGCGCCCCCACCCATTTTAGGAAGGCAGCGCGATTGCAATCTTAAACCCCCACGAAGACGCCATGAACAGAATCAGAGTGATTGTGCCCAGGGCAACACTAAGCAGAGAAAGTTCCAAAACGCGGTGTTTATTATGATCTTATTTTTTAAAAAAGCAACGTTGGGAGCTATGAATTCGTGGATCTGTCGATGTCTGTACGTTAATTACTCAAGCATGGAGAGGATCTGAGCAATACATGAGGTTCGTTTTGAAGTGGAGTGGAGGGAAGACGGGTGAAATTGGGGAGAGGGAGCAAAGGGAAAATACTGTAATAACTGTCTTCGTACAATACACCGTAGATGTGAAAGTGTACTTTTGCTTTCCATTTGCACAAATATTTGAAAATTAATTTTAAAACAGTGCAAGGCCAGGGGTACAGCTCAGTGATAGAGCACTTGTCTAGCACACGTGACGCTCTGGTTTTGATTCCCAGGAAAACACACACACACACACCCACCGTCCATAATTTTTTAAAATTAAAAAAAAGTTTCAATGGGATTGTTCAGCAGCAAGTTCCTTTCTTCCTATTTCGTCTTCAGACTGCTGGTATTAGCCAGAGAGGCCCAGCTAATGTCAGCAATTATCTTCAGGACCTTTGCAGATTGTGAGTGAACCCCTATTTCCTGAACAAATGTTCTGAGTTTGTTGAAACTTCTTAAAAATGAATGTACTTGGACTCCTGCTTTAGAAAGCACTTCTGGACTTTTTTTTTTCTTTATTGAGACAGGGTCTCACTATGCAACCCACACTGCACTCAAACTCACTGGGATCCTCCTGCCTCAGCCTCCCTAGTGCCGAGATTATAGGCATAGGCTACCACACCTCGCTCTGGGGTTTTTAAATACCTGTGCCTGGGTCCTGGGAGCAGGGAACACTGAGCTTGCTTTGCAGTGAAAAGCTGCTGTCCTTGTTGTGGATTGGGACCTGTGGGTAGCGTGCTGAGCTTGCGTGGGAAATGGAACAGCTCCACACACTCCCTTTCTGGGCCCCAGAGGCCTGGACAGTTCATCTTCAAACATTGCCCACTGCGTCTGCGAACCCCAAATAGCCTTGCTGTGCTCTCCTGGGGGGCACCCCCCGCCAATCTCCTCTGCTCAGAAGAGGGGCCGTGTCCCCTCCCAGCTCTGCACGCTCCAACTCCCGTTCAGCAGTTCTGACTCCCCGGGGTTGAGGGCAACAGTGGGCGGGGTGGCCAGGCGGCAGGGGCATTGCTTGGTTAAATCCAACTCTCTGCCTGTTTCACACTGAACCCATGCAGCTTAAAGCAGCTGGAGAAAATAAATTCAGGCTGCCCAGCTCGGCCTCAGATGGGCACTGCACGCTGCAGCATGGACCACTGTCCCTTCACCCTGGGTGACCACTGGCTGTCTTCTGTCTCCGAGCCGCCACTGATGACTGCTCTGCACTCATCCCTGGCTACAACAGAAGCCATCAAGTTCCAGCCTCCTCCTCTTCGTGACCACCCTCCCGCTTCCTTTGGTGTGGGTCACCATGCCAGCCACCCTTCCCTCTTGGGGTACCAGGCACTCGTCCATCCACTCATGGCCAAGACTTACTGATGCGTGGTGTCTCTGTCTCTCCATCTTTCTCCCGAATCTCCTCCAACTTGCACTCATCCTCACCCCTCACCAAAATGCTCTCAGCAAGGTTTCTGTCCTAGACTCCCCTGCGAATCGGGGTGCCCGTCTGCCTGGCTCCACAGTCTGCCTGACAGTCATGTTCCGCCTCCTCTTCACCTTGCCAGGCTGGGAGCAGCAGCTGGCACTGCCCGGCAGAGGACAGGGGAGCGGGAGCTGCTCTCCAGGAAGCCGAGCACCACCACGCTGCGGGGTCCGTCAGGGATGTGCTTCCCTCCGCAGAGGCCAGGGGCCGTGTTTTCGGTGAACGGTGTACTGGGTTTGGTGTGTGTGGCCGGTGATGGTTCTGGAATTGAAGGGACACTGCGGAGCGAGAAGAAAACAGAGTCTGGGAAATCAACAACGCATTTTATTCCACAGGAAGAAGAGTGACGACTCTGACAGAAAAGCCAGATCACAGTCTGGACACACTGGTGACTGCGTGCGTTACACGGCGAGGACCCACAGCTTTATTCTCAGCAGTCCACCAAGCAGCTGCTAGGGTTTTGGAGGCACAGATGACACTTGCAAACAAAGGGCCTGGGGCCTCCGGCACCTACCCAGCACAGGGCTGCTGGGGCAGGGCCGAGGTTGCCTGTCTGCTTCCACGGCACAGGGCTGGGCCCGGCTGATCTTGACACACAGGTCACCAGCCAGGCTGGGCCAGAGAGAGGGGATGGCTTCTGAAGTCCCCTTCCCCACTGCCCCAAGGCATTCCACTAGTTTTACCCTCCTCAAAAAGGAACTGTGTTTGAGGCAGCATGAAAATGGATAGGAATCGTCCTGACCAAGTCTTGGACACCACCAGCTAAATCCCAATTTAAGAAATGGGCATTGAGGGAGCCAGGGCAGGGGCTGCTTGGTCTAGAGTTCTGATGCTGTCCCCCTCCTGGTGCTGGGGCTGCAGGGCAGGGAAGAGTTCTGGGAGCATCAGCCCCAGGCCCATTTGGTGCCTTTAACACCTGCCCTTCTGAGGTGCAGACATCACGGGGTGGTGGTGCCCTCAGAGGGATGGGCGACTATTTAAAGTGCTGATTAAATGAGAGGGGCGGGGAGGGGCACCACCCTGGCTGTTCCTGAAGCACCGGGCCAGGGCGGCCTCGGTGCCTTCCTGTAGTCAGGGATGGCGCCACCGGGTGCTGCCGGGCCCTAGGCCGGCTTCTTCAGGACAGGAGCCGCTTTCCCCAGGACGGACATTTCCGGTGACCCTAGCCCGACAAATGACAGAAGGCTTGCTGATGCCAGTGTCCTGAGCCTCATTGGTGAGAGGCTGTGATCTCGGGCAGTGGATTACTGGTGACAAAAACCGCACACCAGACTTGCAGGGCGTGGAGCAAGGCAGGAGGGGCTCGGACTTGGCCCTTGAGTTGCAGGTCTCACACAGAAGCGCTGAGACCATCATGACAAGCGCTCAGCTACCATCATGACAACATACATGTAGCACGTGCACATGTGTGCGTGCACCCCCAGGGGTGTGCAAAGTCCCTGAGGAAGGGGAGAGGTGGACAGATGAGCTTCATTTGCGTCTTGGAGGAATCTGAGTTACAGACACCAAAGCCTTCCACACATCTGCGGTTCCACCAGGCCACTTCAGGCCTCAGCTACATGTGACCAGGCTGCAGAAAGTGATCAGCTTTTACTAAAATAAAATCCCCAGAGTCACAGGGCGAGTCACTCACCCACAGTGAGGCCTTACCTTGCCCCAGATGCTGTGCCCCAGCTGTTTAATACTCATATTTCACTCCCTTTCCTGCGCTCTCCTCCTCATGCCACTGTCACCACCTGTGTCCCCGGGACCATGCAGCTGTGCTGCCAGGTCGTGGCTTTGTAAGAACTGGGTCTCGGGAGCTTCTGCCCGGAGAGACTGGTGCCAGGCCAGGGAGCAGCGTTCTCATCAGGGGCATCTGCCTTATCCCAACAAAGGGCTCAGTGACTGACAGCAGCGTGAGAACACCGCGTAAGACTGACCTGTGTGCGCTGAGGGGACAGTCTTACTTCCGTGTTGGGTGACACTGGTCAGGGGAAAGCCACGTGGATGGGCACCTTAGCAACCCACTTGTGACTACCTGAGGGCTGTCTGAAATGTGCGAGAGGCAGTGGCCAGACCCTCTCTGCGTCCCTCCCTGGGGTGACCGACAACTGCCAAGCTTGCTCTTCAACTCAGATCTCACTGCACCCACGAGACCCGGCAGCGACACTTCAACTCTCAGGAGCGCTCTCTTCGGTCCCCTGAATGAGACATGTAGAGTTAGCGCAATCAAGGGTCCAGGACAATTTATATTACTTTACAGAAACAACCTTCACACAGGTCACAGCCCTGCTCAGAAGCGCCTATGTATTTACAAACACACAGTTGTACATATATACATGTTAACAAAATACAAGGCGATCTAAAAATTAGGTTCATCTCAGTACATTTTCCTTTTATCTTATTCAATGGATACCTTTTAAAAATGATTTCCCCATAATCTAAAGTAACTCCCTGCCCTACAACTATATACTTTCCATTTGTGTTCTCCTTGTAAGGATTTCGATTTCCTTTCCCTCACTCCCTGATACCACCCCAAACCTCCTTCCAGTTTTCTTCTAACTTGAGCCGAGGGCAGGGGCGTCTGTGCTCCCGAGGGGGCTCTGTGGCCAGGAGTCTCCGTAGCTGGGACTTCTCAGGAGTCCAGCTCCAACTGCTCTTGATTTTCGTTGAGTCTTAACCTAAGTTGCTGTTCGTAGTAAAGGCTCTTTGCGTAGTTTATTTCTTGTGATAACTTGATAGCCAGGACCTCAGATTTCACATGGACCTAAGGAGGATAAGAGGATGAGCACCTGCCCAGGGGTGGGCAGCCGAATGCAGCCAGCAGCACGGGCAGGGCAGCTCCTGGCCCGGCTGCAGATCAGAACACTGGGACACTTAAGAAAAACAAAGTTGCAGGGTTAGTTCTGATCTGAATTTTTAGTGTATTTCTCCCATCATGGACACCTGAGGACCTGGGCTGAGGCTGGCCACACTCCCAGGAGGAGCTGCTGAGGTGGGACTATGTCCGGAATGACAGGCACATGCCACTTTCAAGCCTGGAGGCCTCCAGAGAAGAAACAGTGAGCAAGCAAAAGCTGAGGCTCTGGTACGACCAAGCCTGCTCCATGGCTCACCTGCCCTGGAAGGGAGGCAGTTGGAGAGGCCTGTCCTCAAGAAGGTGTGAAACAGCATCCCTGAAGGGCAGGGACCCCTCAAGCAACCAGCCCTAGCTGAAGCCAACCCCAGGGTAGCCTCCGAGCCAAAACAAAACCAAGGGCGGGAGGCCAGGACACCTGAGGGGAGAGGCCAAGAGAGGCTGGCAACAATTTGATCTGCCTACAGCAGGGACACATTCCTCCCAAGTCCTGCACACCAGGACTCAGCGGGGTGTCACGCAGGCCTCAGGTGGACCCAGGCTAGGGATGTGGGCACAGCACAGTCTGGGCTCTGCGGCTGAGACACCAGCTCCTTCCAGAGTCAGCCATGTGGCCGGATCAAGCTGCCTGCCTTTATACCTTTAGTCAGCGGCACGGTGGGGACAAGGGCCGCCCACCAGTAAATAAGCCCTAGAAGTACCTGGCAACAGAAACACCCCTCAAAGTCCCTTCAGAACACTACCTTCCACCCTCTGGGGGCAAACAGAATTTTATTCACCGATGCCTGTTGAGTGCGCCAGGCACTGCTTCTTTGCTCAGAACAGAAAGATGCCATTTCCACGGTTACCACAGAAACAACAGTGTGGGCTCCCTCACTGCCTCAGACTCCGTGCACCCCAGAGTCACACCTCAGAAATACAAAACCCCGGGAACCTTGCTAGTCACTCCTCGTGACTGACTACAGTGAGCATGGCTACCCACTCATGTTGGTGGGAAACTGAGGCACAAACACCGAGGGATGCGCTGGGGACGCCGTGGAGCAGGCGGGCAGCACCCGCAGTCTCTGAGGGGAAGTGGCTGAGGCACGGCTGCGGGACTGACCTGGGGCCTGGCCGTGGGCTCACCCACCCAATGCGATGCCAGCAGAGCAGGGACTCACCATTGGCTTCTGGTGCGACGGGCCCGGCATGGCCACGCCACTGCTCGAGTTCGCGGCTTTCTTGGTCACCTGCACATACACCTTCCCGTGCTCTCTGGAGACGAGGCAGTGGTAGAGGTCGTCGTATTTGACCTCGAGGAAAATGGCCTCCCGGTCCACATAGTCTCCACTCTTGAGGAAGTACACGGCCTTGGAGGAGATGAGCACGCAGTAGCTGTCGATGTTCTCCACGGCAATGAAGCTGCACAGAGACAGGAGCGGGTATGGTGGCCATTAGGGAAGAAAGCCTGAACCCAGCCGTGCACTCCGCACACCCTGGGGAGGTGGCCTCAGTTTCCTCATTTGGAAGGAAGGAATTAGAGGGCCCCATGGGCACAGCACACGGCTCCCTTCCAAGAGGGATGCTCAGTGAACAGCACCTGGGGGCGGTGACCAACAGTTCCAGCAAGAGAAACGATTTCACCTCACGTGGTGTCAGCGGGGTGCTTTGGGGGTGAGCTTAAGGCTCAGCGAACCTTGCTGGACAGAAGGGGAAAACAACGGCTTTTAGATGTTAAACTGGGGGAGGAGCTGAGAACACCACTGCCTAGGCATTCAGGTGACAGGAAGAGGCTAGAAGATGTGGCCAGCAGGGACAAATGCTGATGGGAGAAAAGTACACCCAACCACGTGACACGGGAGGTGGAAGGACGTCAGAGCACCTGCACACCTGCACGCGCAATGACGTGTTCCCAGGCTCCAGAGGCTCAGCCCCTCTCGGGAACCGGGATATGAGAGACCACAGCATTCTTGGACAGGCTGAGTGCCTGTAAAGTGCTTTCTCGGTCAAACTTACAAACTTCGTCTCAAAAATTAATGATTTCTTCTACGAGCTTTAGGGTCCCTCAGCAAAAAGCTAGTTTAAAAAACTGGGGGAAGGGAAGGGAGAGGAGGGGAGAGCCAACAGCGGCGAACCCCGGAAACTGCAGTGACAGCTCTGGCAACACTGCCTTTCATAGTGCGGCTGGGCGGTGAGGCCAGAGAGGGAACAGGCAGGAAGAACCCTAAGGGCTGACAATCTGCTGAGGCCCAGCATCCACCTCCACAGTCCTCCTGCTCAGGGCCAAGGCTCCCCCAGTACTGTCCTAGAACTCAGGTCCTGGGTGCGCAGGTGCAAACCCCTCTGATGGAGGCAGAAGCGCAGGAAGGGGGCAGGAGGAGGTTGCCCGGCCCCAAGCTGGCGCTGAGCTTCTGCTCACCTTTGATTTCCCACCCCCTCCCACAAGGTCTGACACCCCTCAAGGCTTCCCCGATACTCAGGGCCCTTGTGAGTGCTTTGTGGCCTTGACCTCCAGGGCTGCCAAACACTGGCTGCTCTTTCTGCGTTTCCTGGGGAGGTGCGGCATCTTGGCTTTTGGAGCAAGCTCCAGGACCAGCCTCGCTGAGCACCACCCTATGAGGGCTCAGCAGTGCCCGCCTCATCCCAGTTGTCATCTTAATTACAGCCACTCATAACAAAGACAGGGGTTTGTCGTGCTATTCTGACTGGCTGGCACTGCCAAGAATGTGCACTGGTAAAGACAGTGATGAAATTAGAAGCCCCCGGTGGCTTTCATGCCTGGGCCGCTCCATAGCACAGCCTTTCTCACATCCCAGCCAGATTCTGTCAGGGGCAGCACCGTGAGCGTCCCCAAACCGGGCTGCACAGAACCTGAAATAGCTGGTCCAGGGAAGGAGGAGGACACAGAAAGAAGAGAGGGTCAGGAAGCAACAAAAGCACAGTGCCGCGGAGAGGAACATTGCGGGGCCAGCTGGGGCTAGGGCGAAACCAGCTGAGAAGCTGAAAATGGTGCCTGTACCCAAGCACAGGTGGAAACGAGACTGCTGTCCTAGCTTCTAGGCCAGCACCACACAGGGCACTTTGTGCCTTGCCCTGGGGCCCCCACTCTGGGCATTTACACCAGGCAGGTGCCTTCACGCCTAGGCAGAGGGCTGACGCTTCCGCCGGCTTTCAAACAGACTCCCCACTGTGGCGCATCCCCCCCTCCCCCAGCAGACCAGGCAACTTCTGGAGGATTGGCTCTGAGTCGGGAGGCTCTGCAGAAAGGCAGAAGACACACACAGTGGCCGTGCAGGCGGCGAAGCCCCCCACACTGGGGACTCCGGCCAGGCTGCTGGCTTCCTTGGTGGCTCCGTTTCTTCATCTCTGATAGAGATGAGGCCGCCTGCCAGCTCCCTGCACAAAGTGAAGGCCAGAAGAACACACGGCTGGACAGAAAAGCAATGAGAGACAGAGCAGCTCTACAACTCTGCCCAGATCTCTGCTCTCGAAGGAGCAGACCCCGTTCATACCCTGGAGCTGCCACTGATAGCCACATATTTTAAACGTTTACATGAAATATTCTAAAGTCATTAGATCAAAAGCAGGTCAGAGCCAAGGGCATGACTGAGAGAAGAAAGACAGCTGGGCAGTGACCCTGAGACTGGGCGGCCAACAGCTGTCTCTGCAGTCTCCTCCCGATGCTTCCCCTGCACCCCCATGACTTCTGGCCAAGGCTTCGGGCCACATCAGCACCACCGTTATTATTAATTCTGGTGTTTTCCAAAATGCGGAAACCACATCAAAGATGTAGTCAAACAGCTCCAGACCTCCTTCAGTTGATGGACACTGATCCCCAAACTGTCACTCTGGGAGAGAGAAGCCACAGTTCAGGGGGACAAAGGACAAGCAAAGGCAGAGCCCTGCCAGCTGATGCCCGGCAGACACACTCCTCCCTGTCCCTCTTCCCGCAAAGTCATAGGCCCCTCGCTGGCTGAGACCTGCAGGACAATTCTCCACAGACTTCCTGAGCTTTGCTCTGTGTGAAAATGGATGCCAGGGGCCACTGGACTGGGGCTGCCCACTCTCTGGCCCTGTAAGCCAAGCTTCACTAAAGGATTGTCGCTGGCCACCGGAGAGCCTTGGGAGTGACCCAGGAGGAAAGCCAGCATGGCCCAGGTGGCTTCTGAGGACACTCCTGCTGTCCTTGGATGTCTGACCTCGGAAGGAGGCAGGGCGGGAGGAGCACGACATGGTGGGCCAGAAACACAGAGCATCTGGGGGAGCTCTGCCTTCACACGTGAGGGCCAGTGAGACCACATTTCAGGATGCTGTGGATACTATAATTGAGTCTACTTTTTAAAGTGTGTTTTTTACAATTTTTAAGCTTGAGTTACAAGCTCCTTTAGGGAGAGAGAGAGAGGGGACACTGGCTCGGCATCAATATGGGACAGCTTCTTCCGAGAGGACGAAAGGTGTGGCACACAGTCCATGCCCTCTCCCGGTGGCGGCACTACTAGTAAAGACCCCACGAGGGCCTGGCTTCTGAGTTCAGGGGCGTCAGGCATGGACTCCCATGGAGACCCCAAGGTCTCCAAAGGGGGGATGTGCATGATTCAGTGGCACAGGAGGAGAATCCACTATTGCTGGCTTAAGATTGAGAGCCACAGGGTTGTTCTCAAGGCCCCGTGGCGCGTTGGGAGCTCATCACATCATGTGGCTGGCTGCTGTCCCCTCCAGGGCACAGGGTAAAATCACCATTGGAGCTGCACCCTTCAACTGTGCACAGAACAAGAACTTTCCCTGAGGAAGGAGGCCCCATCAGCATGCCCTTCATGAGCAGGCTGGAAAATGTTGCTCTAAGAGGCTGTGTGGAGCAGGTTTAGGTCCAGTTTCTCTCCAGGGAGAAGCTATGTGCCAAGCAACTGTTCCAACCACCCCATTTGGTTTCTTTCTTTCTCTTTTATTTATTTTTGCTTTATTAGAGCTATTTATACATCTTATTCTACTCCCTTTGGAGTCATTTCAAAGTCAGAAAGGCCTGACTCAAGTCTTAGGCCAGGAGTGAGCCCAGTGGGGCCCCCTGGCCTGCAAGTATGTGTAGAACTTCAAGTCTGAGCTGGTGCCAGGTCACTGAGTGCCAGGCTCTCTGTGGGACATCTCCACAGAGTGTCCCTGCACACTTAGCACATGCACAGTTAAGCAATCCTGCCTTGTTCACCTCCACCTCCACCCAAACAGGCAAGAATGGGGGGCTGCTCTCAGCTTCTCTTCCTCAGTCAGACTCCAAAGCCAGTCAGTCTGTGGATTCGGTTTGACCGATGTCCCCTCTACCCACCTGCCACTATGCTCAGGCCTCTCTAGTGGGTCTTTCTCGGCTGCCCTCCAGGCTACGTTTTCAGCATGGTTTTGAGTGGGAGTGTCTTCTTCAAATATCACACTGCCTCCAGCATGACCACTGAGGCCAGGCCCTTAGCAGGTGAGAAGGGACATTCTGCAAATTCTCCAGACACGCCACGAGCTCTGCTGGCCTCGCTTCCAACTGACCACCTCTCCTCACGGCGCACAGCACAGGACTCAGGCTTCCACTTGAACAGCGAGCCCGTGGTACAGGTGCTGGGTCATAAACACACGGCCTGCTTACCCTGCTCACCCGTGGGCTCACAGGGACAGGACACAGGTTCTCCCTTGTCCTGGCACACGGCAGGACTTAACACACAATGTTCCAAAATGACAGTGAAGCGATGCTGCAAGGGCCAATGGAATTTGCTGGCACACATGCAACTCTGGGTGACGGACAAAGTTAGAAACTTCGCTCAGGACTCCTGATTTAACTTATCAGAGATTTAGCAAGCCAGTTTTTTTATCAGAGCCACACCTGAGTCTTAATCCAGTGGCACAATAAACAATGTCCAGTTTCCTAAGTGTCAATAGTTTTTGATGGATTATTTCCTGGTTTAGAAAACGGAGTTGGGAGCTGTGGGTATAGCTCGGTGGTAGTGCGTGCCTGGCGTGTGCAAACCCTGGGACTCCATCCCCAGACCCTCCACACCAAAGGAATACAGAAGCTGGTCCATTTGATCCTGTTCCTCAAAAGGACTAGTCGTTCGCTTTTGTCTCTTGTGCAAAATTATTGTAATATCTATTAGATCTTATTATACCCAACAGAATGAATGCCCTATTAGAATGAATATCATGCCTGTGCTCACGAAGAATTCTGATTCTAGGGCCGGGGATTTAGCTCAATGGTTCCGCCACCTACCTCGCAAGTGCAAGGTCCTGAGTGTGATCCCCAGTATAAAAAAAAAAAAAAAAACAATTCCGATTCTATGATTTCTCAGG